GCTACTTTTTCTGTGAAGAATCAAATGATGATGCATTGCATTTTAAGCTCGCAAGATCTCTCTTGAAGATTGCATCATTTGAATTTGCAAACCTTAAGTATTTTAACTCCACTTTCATGAATTTAAAAAATGCTAGGCTAGTTTTGAATGTGAAATGCGAAATAGTTGTGTTCACGTCAGTGATTGTTTTGTGATATAAAACAAAATTTAGTTCACCTTGTCACTCATATTTATATGCTTACAAGTAATGAAGAAATATCTAAAATTGAGAGAACATACGTTTAAAAACATCTGCAAGTTCCTCCAGTCCCTGACGGACAAGCCATTGTTCGACAAATGCCTTGTCTTTCCCAATGAACTCATCCATGGCACTTTCCAAAACACGTGTGTCGAATGCCCAGGGATCGCCCCAGGGTACGCAAATGCCCAGCCCCCGGGCCGTGATAAAATTGCGGATACCCCACCCCCAGGATTGACAACGTGAGCAAATGCCCTGCGGTTGCCCGAGGGGGGGATGGGCACTGCTGGAATTGACTGATGCATTATTGCTTTCAATCAGCAGAAATAAAAGAAAGCAGGGGCAGCTTCAGTGATAACTATTACTAGTTTAAAATTTAAAAACATGTTATTGGCAAAGGCTTTCAAAATTAAAAATTGATACACAGAGTTACCATCTCTGTAAACGTGAAAATGTAAGTTTTATCGGATTGTTGTGAACGAAAACAAAGGACAGTGCATGTCAGCAGCAGCTGAAGAATCCAAATTAAATGAACATGCATGAGAAATGAGTGGGCCTAGAATAGCTTTTTCTCCAACAAGCTGAATTGTCAATAGTACTTTTGTTTTAAAATTTCTGTTAGATGTAAAATACAATATGAAAGCTAGGACATAGTAATTAAGGCTCTTATGACAACAACAATGCAACTGGTCTGTGCATGTCATCAATTTAGTCAGTTAGAAATTGGACCTCACCTCAGGTTGGCTGTGGTCGTTTTCCTCTGGGGGCACCAAAGAGACTTGTTCTTGAGGAGCTGTTCAAAGAAACAAAGGGAGAATTTCAGCACAGTAGCGACCCACAATAGCAAACAACTGAGGACAATGCGAGCAAACCTTCACCCGGTATGCCGTCCGCCATGTTTGTCTGTTGTAACCAAGTAAATGCTTACAATGCATCATGGGATACTATTGATTCATTGATAAATAGAGTAATTAGCGAGGGGTAGGGTAGGGTAGGGAGTCGGGTATGGTGACGGGACAGACCAGATAATTTGCTCAACTACCAAAGATACATGACATAAGTTAACTCAAAAGTATCTTTTTTATTTAAGTTGATACAGAAACCTCATACAAAGATCTCTTGCGGTTTTGAAAGTCTGTTGCTTTACCTTTCTTCTTTCAGACATGTACAATTTTTAAATTAGCACAGTAAAGGTACACTTAACTTTAACACCAAACATACGTCTTCCTTGTCACCAACTGGAACCTTTTTCTTGTATTTTTATACTAGTGGTATTTCGATGAGCGATTTCTCGGGTGTTTTGTTTTCGATCAAAATATGCACTTAGCCGGGTACGGATGGGAGAATTTTTTGCTACAGTCCTGCCAGTCACGTGACATAGAAGGCTTCAGTTCAGCGCGGTGCCAACCATGATGGTAAGGGCATAGGCCAGGGAATAACAGCTGAAAATTACGGAATATTTAATCAATTTATAAGATATAACCTCATTTTCCGTTTTCCGTTCTCGACAGGACGCAGCTGATAGTGCAGATATGCTGGAGGACGAGAAAGTGAGTTTGTTCTTGGCCATCTTTGATCTCGTACCCATGACTCTAGGCCTTCCCGTGGAATCGAAAAAAACAAATTTGTTTTGATTTCGTTTCCATTTTAGACACGGACTCAGACTGTGGATTTAAACACGGACACCTCCCTTATGGTAGACATTTCCGATGCATTAAGTGAAAGAGATCGGGTGAAGTTTACTGTTCATACAAAGGTACGTAAGCGCTATGTTTTCTCCATGGCCATGCAAACTTTCCCTGTTGGTCCACCTCATTCATTGATAATTGGTTAACTACAAAAAATGCACTTCCTTTTAGACAACCCTGCCGAATTTTAAAGAAGGCGAGTTTTCTGTCGTCAGGGAACATGAAGAATTTGTTTGGCTTCACGATCGATACGTAGAAAACGAAGAGTATGCTGGAATCATTGTAAGTACTTGGAGATATTTGTAAATGGGATATTGATCGATATTTGATTAATTTCAGTAAGCTAAGCTTATCCGAAAGCTTTTCGTATCGAGCCTCCCAGAAGTTATCTAAACATTAATTACCGTTTTTCTTGACAAAATCATACTATTTCGTCCTAGCAGTGGGGAATGGTGGGAGTTGATTATCTGGCTTGAAAAAAATTAAGTCAAATTTCTCTCTTGGTCTTTTTTTTTCTGATGCCCTTTCAGAGTCTTGATTTCTTTTCCAAAGCTGAAAAAAGTCTTGGCTTCACAAAAGAAAAACCAACTAGTAGGTTTGCCATCTCACAAAGGAGGAAATTTTCATGTAGCAGCACTGGCCCTTTGTCAGGTTACATGTATGTGCCCAGTTACTTCCTTAACACTGCAGAACCCTTTGAGCAGGTTCTGCGGCTGGGAAAGATAGACAAAAGTGGGCAATCAACGAATAGGGGTAGATGAAATTACTTATTATATAGACACAATTGTTTTACAGGAAAATACACCACTAGTAAAATTCATCCGAAACTATATTTGGGACCTGAGTGGTATGTTTTCCATAGTGAGGATATTACCTTGTTTCCCACTTTTTCACAGTTGTTTTTGCAAACAGTCAGTTTGTCAATGTAATAAAATGAAAATTACACATTGGCTTGAAGATATGAATGTTGTTTTGTAGTGTTAAAAGCAATAATGGGTGATATCCATACACAATATATGTATCTTATTAGATGTTCTGGTGTGTAGTATCGCTGTATATATTTGCTAATTGTGCCATATTTTGACGAGCCCATAGGGCGAGTCAAAATACAAACAACGAGTAAAAATATACAGCGATACTACACACCAAAACATC